TAGCCACGAATATCTTTCATGCTTTAAGAAAGACAGGACTTAACTTTGAAGAACAAGCTCAACTTCAACATTAGTTTCTAAACAAGTCGCTGAACATGAGGCCCAACAGAGAGGGAATCCTCAATTAAAAATCCTAAATATTTATATTGTGAAACTACTTCTATCACCAAGCTTTGGAGAGTAAGCGAGCATGCATTTTTTGAGGGTGTAGACAGTCTATTTGAAAACTGGTGGGGTAGGTTTTGTTCTGAGTAAGACATTGCAGACATTTTCAAATATGAACTTGACAAAAGCTTTTATCCAAAGCAACTTGCATTGCTTTCAAGGTAAACAGTGTTAGTTCATGCACGTCTAGAAATATGGGGACCCAAATGTGATGTCATTTGATAAATCAATGAAGAACTCAGTATCTCCGACTGTTTCCGTTTGTTCTGCAGGTGTGTTTGGTGTTGATGGAGTGAAGACAGTGATAGAGGGAGATTCTCTTACTCTACAGACTGATTTTATTGAAATGCAGAAAGATGGTCTAACAGAGTGGAAAGTTAATAACACTAACATCGCAACAATCAATAAAGGAACTGGTAAAGTTGAATACAGTGATGATAAACTGATGATGATGTTTAGCGGCAGACTTAATCTGGATCAAACTGGATTTCTCACCATCTGGAACATCAGAATCAAACACTCAGGTGAATATAAAGTAGAGAGCATCAGCAGCGTAGGGACCAAATCCAAGACGTTCAAAGTTATTGTGAAAGGTGAGTCAATTAAATCTGGACTTCTTTGTGAGAGTATGCAAGCTGAAATAATTGACTGTTAAGAGAGAGTCATCACTGTGAAACTATTTTTGCAGAATCTCCACTCAAATCTGTTGAAGATAAAGATGAAATAAAGGTATTGTCAGCCACGAAGGGAAATTCTGAGACTCTACACACTGAAATTGAACTACAGAAACATGATCTAATACTGTGGAGATTTGGAGCTGAAGGATCTCTCATTGCTAAAGGCGATACAGAAGACAATCATATGTCATACTATGATGATGATGATGGGAGATTCAGAGGCAGACTGGAGCTGGACAGTGAGACTGGATCTCTGACCATCACAGACCTCGAAACTGAGCATACTGGAGAATTTAGACTAAAGATCATCAGCGACAGAAGGATCTTATTCAAAAGATTCACTGTTACTGTCTCTGGTGAGTTGCTTTATTCTTACAAATCTACTGTCTACTAATAATTTACATATTCAATTAATGACTGTCTCTCTTTATCATTTCAGAACCAGGTCTGTCTCCAGGTGCTGTAGCAGGAATATGTGTTGCTATTCTACTGGTTGCTGCAGCAGCTGTAGCTGCTGGTGTTGTGATTTATTATCGAAGCAATCACTATAAAGTAAAAAGACTAATATGTAAGTCATACAAAAGTTATGCAGATGATGAAGAATCACACAGTATCATCATGTTCATTAATTTCTTCTGTTTCTGTTCTGTTCATTCATTTCATCTGTCCATTCATTTCTTTTTCTATGTACTGCTGTGACTTGAAGCGAAGTTCTCTGAACAACTAAAGCAAATGAGTAAGTATTACACCTGGTATGAGAGAAAACGTCTCAGGTTACTTATGTAACCATGGTTCCCTGAGTAGGGAACGAGACACTGCGTCCTCTAGGGGTCGCTATGGGGAACGCCTCGTCGTGACCCGTGTCTGAAGCATACATTGAAAAAACACCAACACGTTGGCCGGCGACAGCCCATGACGTCACTACCGGTGCGACTATAGTATAAATAGGCGTCGGGAGAACATGTCATTCACTTCTTCGTCTGAAGCTTCCGTTCGAAGCATGGCAAGAAGCCTAGAGGACGCAGTGTCTCGTTCCCTACTCAGGGAACCATGGTTACATAAGTAACCGGAGACGATCCCTTTCAAGGGAACTTCGAACTGCGTCCTCTAGGGGTCGCTATGGGGAACGGTATACCCACGCCACCATGCTGAGGGGAGTGCAAGCCAGAACCATGGCGAGCACTAAGAACCAACTCTACCATATTGCTATGGGAGTCACTCCTGGGACGTTAGACGGCTGTCAGTGACGTTATTCCCTACGGCCAAAAGCCTAGACTACATACCCCAAAATACATACCTGTTAGGGCCAGACTTCTGGGCCTGGGGTAGAGCTCAAGTCTTGGAATCAGGAATAGATTCCTTTAAGGGAATACGACCAAGAGCCTAGAATCATACTAGTCTTGGCCTGTCACACAGTTTCTCTTTGTATGTGCTGAAGGAACTGTCTCAACAGA